ATTATTTTTTTTTAATTTTAATAAATAAAAAATAAAAAATATTATAATATAAAATAAAAAATTAAAACTTATAAATATGGTAAAGTTAAAAATTAAAAAATAAGCTTTTTCCCTCTCCTCTCCATCTCTCTCTCTCCCCCACATTCTGCAGCCTAAATTAAACCGAAAAGATCCCATCTTTATTAATCATCTCAATCATAATAAAAGAATACCCAACAATTTTTGTTTTCTTCCCCTTTCTTCCTCCCTAAAATTCAAACCTCAAAACTAGTCTAATTCATGACGGCTGTAAAACCAATCTTTTGAAATTCTTTTTTTTTTATAAGGACAATGATTAATAAATTAATTTTATTAAATGTTAATAATTAATAATTTAATTATAAAATTTGATAAATATTTTATTTTTTTCAATAAAATGCGCTACCCATGAAACTGCTTGATTAGGTAATTTTGAAATTCTATTCTGTTTAACATGCATTTGTGATTGTTTAATTTAAAATTTTGTACTTGTTGACTCTTTAAAAGAAAACAAAACGAGTACAGGCATTTTTTTTTCCCTGTTTCAATGTCCAAAAAACACAGTTTTCTGATTCAGACACTATACTGTCAGTGTCACTTTCTCTCTGGAAGAGCTTGAGCCCCACCTATGGGACAACAACGTCTGTCCCCTCTTCAGACCAGTACCCAACTGGGTATACTTCGTGTTTCAAACTTCTAACAGAACTCTCACTGTCCCCTAACTAAAGCCGAATTCCCCATTCCCAACTTAAACAAACAAAGGGCAAACCTCTAATTTTCAAAATCACAAGGAAAAGTTGGAAACTTTGGTGTAATTTTTCTGTGTTTACGATTAAAATCGTATCCCAAATCCAAAAGATTGCAACTTTGGTGTTAAATGGAGGGAATGTCTAAAACAATGGCAGTGAGGAGGCCGAAATGGAAATATCCACAACCGCCCCCCACGCCAAGAATCCTCCATTTGCCGCGGAGGCCTCGCCGGAAGCAGACAAAGGCTAGTCCTGCAAAACCCACATCACAGAGGGTGAAGAAAGGGAGGCTGGAGACCTTGTTTGATCAGGAGAGGTCGTTTGCAAGAGGGGTGATGCCGGGGATGTTGGTGAGGCCAGGGGAGAGTGAGGAGAGGAGGCGAGAGAGGGTGGAGGAAGGGGAAAGTGGTGTGGTGGCGGTTGAGGAGGAGAAGTGGAGGTTCCAGGCTGAGATATTGAGAGCAGAGTGCAATTTGTTGAGGACGGAGAGAGAGATTGCTATCAAGAAGATGGAGAGAAGAAGGGCGCAGATGGAGAGGATGCTGAAATCTACCATTCAGACTCTACTCTCTGTTAGTTTCTCTATTCTATTCCTGTCTTTTCCTTTTCTTATTACTTAGAAAATGTAGAGATAAAAATTTTTTGCTCTTTCAATTTGATTTTGGTTCTAGTTTAATTTGATTATTGTTCTGGGACATGCAAACAACGACTTAGCTTACTTGTTATGTGAGTGCTATATTTTGATACATAGATGCACCAAATAAGTTGGATTTGGTGTTTTGCTTAATAGGGAAGAAAGAAGATTAGTGAAGGAGAAAATGTGAAATTGGTGTTGGAAGAAGAGATCATTGAGCTGGTGGAGAAACTAAAGAAGTTGCAAAAGCAATCTGATATCAAGGACTTAGAATGCAAAAACTGTAGTGATTTTGATAAGCAGGCATCTTTGCTGCAAAGGCGACTGGAGAAGTTTGGTGGAATGTCAGATGAGGAAATATGCATAAAAGAGATTCGCGAAATGGCTGAAGCAACCTTGTCAATCAAAACAAATTGCCAGGATGATGAAGGCTTTGTTTCGAATCGAATCAGCAATGTAAGAATATATAGCTGTCTTTCTTTGTCCTGTTATTTTCAGGGTTGATTTAAATGGGGAAATTTGATGGTTGAAAATTTTTGAAGGTGGAGATTTTGAGGAAAAAGATGGAAGGATTGTCAAAGGGTATGTTATTGGAGAGAATGGAGGAAGAATATGGTTCAATGCTATCTACATCCAATTGTTCTACTATCAGTTCTGCATCCAATTCAAAGAGGATGGAATTTCCAGACATGTCCATGTTGTCACTACAACAACCATACAAGGTAAAATTCAAGGCCTATTCTTCAGACAATCTTGATTGACCATTTCTGTTTGGAAATTGAGAGAAATTTGTTCGGCAGCTGGAACCAATGTCAGGTGAGGGAAAATCATGTTCAGGATGCTGCAAGGCTATGGCGAGGAGGATTTTAGAGCAGGTTGGTGCTGAGACAGAACAATGGTCCCAAATGCAAGAGGTGCTGGGGCAGGTTAGAGATGAGATTGAAGAACTGCAGGCTTCACGGGATTTCTGGGAAGATAGAGCAATTGATTCTGGGAATGAGATACAATCTCTACAGTATAATGTAAGCATTTCATAAACTACATGACATCTTCTTATTCTCCGATGTTTTCTTACATTGTCTTAAGATGTATGTTGTGGATTAGGTGAAAGAATGGAAGCAGAAAGCTGTCTCTTCTGAAGCAAAGGCTAATGAGCTCCAAGAACAAGTATCAATGCTTCATGGAGAGATTGAAAGATTGAGAAAAGGAAAAGAGAGGGAAGCTATAAGGGCAAGAGACTTATCAATACTTCTCCGGGAAGTGCAAAATAATGCAGAGAAGCAGGTGCTGGTTTGTCACTTGAAGGAAAATTGTCACTCTAAAATTGATATAAGAAGAAGGGCTCAAACATGTTCTGGTACTGGACTTATTTTGCCAAAATGTTCTCCATTGAGAGAAGTTGGGAATATGTCACCATTAATGAGGCACCAAAGCAAAGCAATCATCGCCCTGGATCATGACTGTAAAGAAAATGTCAGATAGAAGAGAGGTGGAATCTTGGCCTAAGGTCTTGTGGAACTCTTCTTGATTAACTTGTAAGGATAGAGGCTTAAATAATGGAAAACTTGTAGGAAGAGGTCTCATAAAGCATTAAGATCAACTATGTTGAGGTTTTTTGCTTCTTAATTATTGTTTTTTTTACTATGAATTTCAGAATAATAAGACAATTTGGGTTTGGATGCTGAACGCAATACTTTAGAACTGCCTATGCTAAAGTGTTATAATTTGTTTGGGTAAAATGCTTATCCCTCTCCTCTCCTCTAATTGATTAAAAACATTATAATTTGATAAGTTAAAAAACTCATATATCTCCTCTTTTCATTTCCCATAAACCAAACATACTATAAAACAACTTACTGTAATATAGAAGATAAAGCAACTAATCCTAGTAATTCGGAGCACCAACCTGGAAAACAGTAACACTTGAGGTTACTGCTGTTAGCTACAACAACAATCAACCAAGTGGTTGCTTAAGAATATTAACACTAACGTTACTTGACCTATTCCTAAGGAACTTATTCAACAACAACAAAAATCTAATTATGTATGTATGTAGCATTAATTACCTAACATGTCTCTTATTAGTACTACCACAAGAAAGTTAGGAAAACTCATTGCAAAATATAATATATATAACAAAATAATGTTTTGCAATCCAAACTACAAAACGTAGACTAATTTATCAAAACTGCATAACAACAAACTTTATATTTAATAGTGTGAGTATAATCTTGGACACCATAACATATTTAGAATCTGCATGATCACTGCCATTCTGGTCCAATGGTCCTAATTTTTTAACCGAAAAAATTAAAATGGACTTAATTGATTTGTTGTGAGAAGTCAGGGGCTTATTATGGGGTTTTGCCATTAATTGGCATGACCATGAGATGTTAAAAGGCACATTAAACGTTTTACCCGTTTCAATATTAGTGGCAGGGGCTAACCTCTTGAATCTTGATGGCATTTGAAATTTGATGATCCCCAGTGAAGCCAACAAGGAACTAAAATTCCATTCTTCTGTGGAAGGATACATAAAAGAGCTATAAAACTTCAAAGTCAATAACAGCAAACAAAGAAACCTCCAGGAACACAACCTTTTATTCAACATTTATTCATTTTAGGATCTGCAAGGAGCTAAGATGACTCAGAAATCAATGAATTCCTTCTCCTTCAGGCTTTCAACTGTTTCCGCTAGGCTCACCTCCAAGGGGATGAACTCAATCCCCAAACTGCTTGCCTTCTCCTTGGACACTTGAAATGTTGGTACATAAGGCTTGTCGTCTGCACATCTGTCAATTTTTACAGAACAATGTTGTGAATTGTCATGAATTAGAGGAAAAATATAATAGCAGCATGTTATCCATGCTTGACAAAAATCCCTCTTCTCAGCCAAAGATATTATCAGACAAACGATGGAGAACAACAACTTTCACTATGTTTTCTTTGCTTCATCCAATAAACAGATATCTTATTGTGGTTATGTTTCAAAATAAGAAAAAAAGTTGAATCATTAGCACCTTCCTTCCCTGTAATGAAAATTTCACCGTGGTGTAAGAATTAGCACTAAAATTGATCAGAAAAGAAATACTCCTGCTTTAGGAATGTCAAAAAGTGTGTTTATACAGTTAAACTTTGGCACTAAGGAAAGTGACAGAAAAGAAACATGATTAGAGAGAGGAAAGAAGCATGCCATTCAAAAACAGAAATTTAAAGGGAGTCTAGTTGAAGTTTTCAAATTCAGGGTTTGAAAAAAAAAAAACTTACTTTTCTGGAAGCTTGAAACTAGGATAGAGGTCATGTAAAATCTTAGCAACTTCTGAATAGTGAGCAACTCTCTCAACCAAACAATATCTTCCACTTGCAGATGGAATTTCAAATGCTTGAATATGTGCATTTGCAACATCTTTAACATTAATCCATCCAAACGATGCATTTGGAAAAGTATGCGCACCTGAAGAGAGAAGAGTCGATCAAAGTGGAATTAGATGCACCTGCAACTTGTAACACCTAACATTAGAATTGTTCAAAACATAATCTGTCATTTATCTTCAACCCTGTTGTTTCACAGGAATTCAGTACTGTAAATTATAGGGTCACAGCACCAAAAAGTCAAAACATCTGACTAGATTAAAAAAAAAGGGTAGAAACTCCCTAAGATTTGGTTGGAAACGACAAAATAATGCTTCCTTGGTCTGTTCATTTGGCGTGCCAACAAGAAATCTCATCAAAGAAGTTAATTTTTGAAAGAAACATTCTGGGCCACGTGTAAATCATCCTTTAGAAACCATTCTCACATTAACCTACCATATTCATTTTAAAAAAAAATAAAATCTCATTCTCATGGGAATTAAATATGTACCAACTAATGACACAAAGAATTGTTTTAAGTTTAGAATGCAAATAATAGCAGCAGTGCAAAATTACCTTTGATTAAGCTCAAAACTGCTGCAGCACTTGTATTAAGTGTTGGTTGCAAAAGAGGACCAATGACCATTGCCGGGTTTATAGAAACCATGTCAATACCATTCTCTTTTGCAAAGTTCCAAGCAGATTCCTCAGCCAAGGTTTTTGATAGCACATACCACAGCTGAAACCAAAAGGATAAAGATAGTACACCCTAAGTCTACCAAAAACGCAATTATGATCATATGAATTGGCAACCAAAATACATTCATTTAATTGAACCTCCAATATTATGCTTGTCCACACTTTTCATGTCACTCAAAGATTAGAGTTTGATAGAAAATGCAAAACTTTTTTCAATAGACCGTGAGAAGCAACATCAGGCATATATACGCACCTTTGATTCCCTACAAAAATCTGTATTTGAAAACCAAGTCTCATCAACCACCACATCAGGAGTTCGAGGTTTTCCATTATATGCAACTGCAGCTATAGAAGATGTTAAGACCACTCGTTTGACAGAAGGGGATTTTGTACATGAGTTGAGAACATTCAGTGTTCCCTTCACGGCAGGATCAATCAATTCAATCTGACACAAGGAAAGAAAGAAAGGGTTCAATATTCATTAAGAAAGACCAAACCAAGGGGAAATTCGACCAAGAGATATAAGTAGCACTGTGGTTTCACTTTTCATGGCAAACACCCTTTAGGAAGAACAAATAATGAGAAACACTTGAGCCATCTAAACAGAGAATTGAAGGGCAACCTGAGGGTCAGTGACATCATAATAAAATGGAGAGGCAGTGTGAAAAACAGCTTCACACCCATCCACAACAGAATCAAAGGAACCTTCTTCCAAGAGGTCTGCTTTAAACAGCTGAAGCCTCTCCTCAGCTCCTTCAAGAGCAAGCAAGTGCTGCGTTTTCTTGGGGTTATCTGACAGAGAGATCATAAAGCAATCAAGTTAAAAAAAAGAGCCATTTTTTATCATCTATCCCCCATCACCATCAAATTTCCAACAACCCATAAACAGAAATTGGCATGCATTTCCTCCAAATCACAATGAAAAATGAGGGATCATCCAAACAGAAACAACAAAACACATCAGATTCAGAGAAATTCGAAACATGCATAAATATGGACGTAGTGAATTCACAAAACATGGAAGTGGAGAAATAAAGAAGGCGTGCAGGTGGCAGACTTGGATCACGAACAGAAGCCTTGACGGTGTAACCGCGGAGGAGGAGGAGCTTGACGAGCCATGACGCAATGTAACCGGAGGCGCCGGTGACGCAGACGATCTTACCACTGCTCATTTTCTTCTTCTCAGGGAGACAACAAGTGCAATGGCGGACTGTTTCTTTCCTCGAAAGCGGACGTTACGCATGTGGTTCGGCATTTTTTCCTCTCGTGAATTGACAGGAATTCACCAACTCCCCCATGACAGCAAGACCCGCCAAGTTAGTGGACCCAATCCCCTCAGACGTAGCCCGTTTCCATTAATCAATTGGCAAAATAAAATCAAGGTCCTGGTTTTCTTCTTTCTAGGCTCGTAGCTTGTACTACATTGGATCAGGCTCACATAAACCCAAATTGTGCTTCTTTTTTTTTTATAAGGGTAATGATTAATAAGTTAGTATTATCATATATTAACAATTGAGAATTCGATCTTTATATCTGATAAATAATCCATTGGCTTTAATGAGACACGCGGTCATCGAGCCGCTTTAAAATATTTTTTTAACTTTAAAAAAACTCTAAACAATAAAAGATCAAAAATTTCAAATTTAAATTTTTCATAAATTTTTTTTAATCACTTTTTTCTATTTTTAAAAACAACGGTTAAATTTTTCATCTAATAAAAATTTAAATTTATTACTTATAAACAAGTAAAAAAACAAAAACAAAAACAAAAACTCCAATAAATTGCACTAAACTGGCCTTAAATTCAAAAATTTTAATCTCTTAACTTATATTTTGACATTTTTAACCTTTCATCTTACTAAATTTGTAAATTTTAGCCTTTCACTTTATACTATAACATTTTTAACCCCTCATCTATTAAAATTGAAGAAAATAGCCATCACTTTGTAATATTTTGTTAGTTCTGATAACTGACTGTTATCTCTATTAACTAATTATTAGTTGACTATTATCTTATAAAAATTTCCTTATTGTTAACTTACAAAAATTTCTTTTCAGTTAATAGGGTTAACAGAATTAATTTTATAATATTTCATTAATTATGTTAACTGACTATTAGTTGACTGTTAATTGATAAAAACTTAATTTCAACTAACAGAGTTAACAGTTAGTCTAAAGTGGGTTATTTTTTTTTATTTTAATAGGTGAAGGACTAAAACCTATAACTCTAGTAAGGTAAGGGACTAAAAGTATCACAATATAAGGTGAGGGGTTAAAACCTTCAAACTTAATAAAGTAAGAAGCTAAAAATAAGTTTTTACCGTACACTCTCCATGTTGACGAAACCCTTTTTAAGTTCCTAAACTTATTCCAAAATAACATTTAAACTCTTAAACTAAAAATGAAACAAATAAATCTTCCAACTCTACTAATGATGCAAATAAACAATTCTTACAAATTGATTAAACAGTATTTCATGTTTAATATCACCTTGAAAATATGAACACTAATGAATGAGAAAGACTTATTTGCATTATTATAAGAGTTTGAGGACTTATCTATTTTATTTTTAGTTTAAGAACTTAAATACTATTTTGAAATAAGTTTGAGGGTTTAAAGAAGGGTTTTTACCCACAATGTTTCTTTTTTTTGGTTTCCCGCCGGTATCCGGGGTTTTGCCCCGACTAATCCGGACCCGACCCGTGTCGCGCACTTGGAAATGGTGGGTGAGTCTCCCAACGGGGACTGCTGCGTATACAAAATCTCAAACTCGAGATCTTACTTAAGCTGGAACAAGTCGCTTACCACTTGATCCAACCCTTCGTTGGTCCCACAATGTTTCTTTCGATACAATCAATGTCACCATGTTTGTGAACAAGGAAATGACAATTATTGTTATGATTAGTTTACAGTTTGTGAATCAAGTTTTTTAACTTGTCTTTAGGCTAAAGATTAAGATTAAGAGTATATTTATTATATTTTTTATTTTAAATTTATATAAAAGATAAAAATTAATTTAAATCTTATCAATCATTTAATTAAATCATTCATATAGTATTGATATTAAAAATGATATTTATTTGTATAATTTTTTATATAAATTAATCATAAAAAAAAAACAATAAATATACCTTTAAAAACACAAGATTAGAAAAACCCTTTCTCAATTTTACCTATTTTCAATAAAAATCATAGAGATGAGCGCACACCCAATGTTACAATGTTTCTTTTGATAGAATCAATGTCACAATGTTTGTGAACAAGAAAATGACAATTATTGCTATGATTAGTTTACAGTTTGTAAATTTTGCCCTTTTTCAATTCACAATATTACAGTTATAATATTACGTAAAAATATAAATTTATAATTGTAATGTAATATTAAATTTTAAATAAAAAAATTAATTATATAATAATAAATCATATTATAAATTATAATATTATGTAATATCATAATTATAGTATTTTTAATTTTTAATAAAAATCACATATGCGAGAAAAAAGAAGGAAAATTGGAAGAAATCATCAAGGGATTAAGGAAATACTGTCCAAGATAATTTTTCTAGTTTGATCATAACCACATATAGGCTGTGGGGTCTATTGATACTTGATTTGAAATGTCAATATGCCAGGATATAGTAGTCGTCTTCGTTCCCATCAAACTTGCTTTATTTTGTGGACACCAGAAAGTAAAAGGGACAACTATAATTCAAGAGGGTGGTATCGGGATATTTGATAAAGAGCATCTAACATGAAAATTACTTGACAATTAGTGCTAGTAGCACATGGTATATATAAATGTAGGGCTCCAAATTAAGTGCTCCCTCTCACCGGTTATAATACAATTTTTTTTTTATTATACAATGAAAGACAATTATCTCTCACTCTTTATCCTATCCCACCTATATGTCATGTTACTCAAATTTAAAATCTCTTATTTTTAGTAAAAACAAATGAATACTGAGTTATTTAAGTCGTTGATAAATTAGATTACGTATAATGATAAAACTCTCTTTGATGTTCTTTTAACATCACATGTATATATTTTCAAACAAAAAGATTTGAATTGAAATTTCTTTTTAGAAAAATATGCCAGCAGCTGGACTTTTTATTTAACAGTAATGAAAATATACAGCATCACTTAATATATGTTCGGAGCAAAGAAATGGAGCTAGTCTCTCTTGCGAGAGACCAACTCTTTAAATACTTCATTGGAGTTAAAAATTTCAGGTTTTCTATTTTGTAGTTTGAATTATAAAAGAGATACTATTTGATGGGAAAAGACTCTTAATATTAGAGTCCTTTTTCTTTAGAGAATTAATATTTTACAGTTCAAAACAATTTAAATTATAATAATTTTTTTAAAGGTTCTATATCTATTTCATTTTTTAAGAAACTCTGATCCTGCATACTTAGACTAGAATTTTAATTCCATTGCCTATTTTCCAAAAAAACAAAAAGAAAGAAAGAAAAAAAAAAAAACTAGCATTTTCATTCATCATGAATCATGTGGTTGGGGACCCTGCTCACAAAGTAAATGGGCGTTTGAATTCGTCCTTCCCTATAATTCTCACTGTCATTTTTACATACCTTTCAATAAAAATGACAAAGAAAGTGGTTTCCACCTAAAACCCAGACTGCCATTTATTCCTTTATTTCTCACAGTAGCAATAATCCCATTCCAAAACTCTAGACAAAAAGAAGAAGACGACGTCTCGCCTTTGAATATTCATGGCTTCTCATCTTACCATATCCTTTAACACTCCTCCCAAGAAGTTCCCTTCATCTCCTTTCTCCAAAGCCCACCTATTCTCCTCATCAACATCCACTACTTTGATCAAAATCAACATCAAGACCAAGAACCTCCTCTTCCCAACACATACAAGATGCTCCTCTGTTTCAAGTTTGAGTACTACTCTGGAGAATATTAATGAAACACAACTGGTTTTCCAGGAAGATGAGAGGCTTCTTTGCGAAATCTGGAAGGAAATTCAGGGCTGCAATGACTGGGAAGGCTTATTGGACCCCATGAATCCTCATCTCCGCAGAGAAATCATCCGCTATGGAGAGTTCACCCAAGCTTGTTATGATTCCTTCGACTTTGATCCTGATTCTAAGTACTGTGGCACCTGTAAGTACCAGGGAGCTCATTTCTTCGAGAAGCTGGACATGGCAGACAGGGGATACCAAATAAGCAGGTACCTATACGCCACCTCGAATATCAATCTCCCGAATTTTTTCCAGAAATCCAGGATGAGCAAAATATGGAGTACCCATGCAAACTGGATAGGATACGTGGCTGTCTGCACTGATGAAGAGGAGATCAGACGGCTGGGACGGCGGGACATAGTCGTTGCCTGGAGAGGCACGGTTACATATCTTGAATGGATCACGGATCTCAAGGATATCCTCCACTCTGCTAACTTCGGCGGCGACCCTGCCATCAAAATCGAGCTGGGATTTTATGACTTGTACACCAGGAAAGAAGAAAGATGCAGATACTGCGCCTTCTCTGCTCGCGAACAGGTGTTAGCGGAAATCAAAAGGTTGCTTGAGTACTACGACGGAGAAGAAATAAGTATCACTTTTACAGGGCACAGTCTCGGCGCTGCTCTGGCGACAGTTAGCGCGTATGATATTGCGGAATTGGGGCTTAATTTGGTCGACGGTGGTGCTAAAATTCCGATCACGGTGTACTCTTTCTCAGGTCCTCGAGTGGGTAATCTGAAATTTAAGGAGCGGTGCGAGGAATTGGGTGTTAAGGTTCTCAGGGTGATCAACGTGCACGATAAGGTGCCGACAGTACCGGGGATCATCGCCAACGAGAAGGTTCAATTTCAGAAGTACATCGAAGAGACGATCTCTTTCCCCTGGAGCTACGCCCACGTCGGGGTGGAATTGGCGTTGGATCATACCCATAGTCCGTTTCTGAAGCCGACGAAGGATCTCGGCTGCGCGCACAACCTGGAGGCGCATTTGCACTTGGTGGATGGGTACCACGGGAAAGAGCGCGAGTTCCGCCTGGCGACCAAGAGGGACATTGCGTTGGTTAACAAGAGCTGTGATTTTCTGAGGAGCGAGTACGGCGTGCCGCCGTATTGGCGGCAGGATGAGAACAAAGGGATGGTGAGGAACGGGGATGGGCGTTGGGTTTTGCCGGAAAGACCCGTAGTGGACTCGCATCCCCCGGAGACGGCATTCCACCTCGAGCAAGTGCTTGGAAGGATCGGCCGCACTTCTGCCAGTCAATGAGGTAATTTAATGCTTTTGTTTGACTTGAAATGTACATTTTGTTTATACTTTAGTTGTAGAATAATAATCTCTTTGCCCCTAATGTGTTTTTATTCTAATATAATGAGTCATATATGTGATTAGTGGATTTTTTTATTAAAAATCTTTATATGATTCTAAATTATGGTTAAATTAATTGTTTAGATATAATTTATAATTAATAGTTAATAATTAATAATTATTATTTTTTACAATTTAGAGTGTATATATCATTCTATTAAAATCAATTAAGTGATAATTGTTTACAAAATACCCAAATAAACATACTCTATAATTTATATGTCCAACTCAAATATAATAGTTTTTTGTTACTACCATGATTAAATGGTCAAATTACCTATACTTTTAATTAAAAATTTTACATTCAATGCTAACGACTTAAATAATTTAATGATTATTTTCTTTTGCTGAAAGTAAAATATCATGAATTCGAGTCACATGGTATGGGGGTGGGATGAGATAAGGGATGAAAAATAATTAGTTTTTATCATACAATCAAAAAAAAGAAAAAGAAAAAAGAAATTAACATTCAATCCTTAATTACTATGTATAAAAAAAATACCTTTTGTTACTATTATTTATTCTAGGTACCTCTAAGTTCTTTTTTTCCTTCTTTCCTTTAAGAAAAATACCGTCGTATCAATATCAGAAGAATGACTACAGGTAGTTGTCATTAGTAAGGCAAAAACCCTCCTTAGGCCTCAAGATTTATCTTAAATTAGCATTTTAGCCCTTAAACTAAAAATGATGCAATTAAGCCCTTCAACTCCTCAACTAGTGCAAATAAGCCCTTATCACTAACAACCCAAATAGTTGTGATTTGATTTGCATTGAATTTGTTTGTTCTTCCCCTTCCACTATTCTACATAGACGTAAATACTAATGTAGCACTATTCCATGTAAATGTAGATGGATTCTTTTATTGTGTTTGTTTTGGTAATTTTCTATTATGTATTTTAACAAAATTTAGAGTTTAACATGTGACATTTAGTAGAGTTTTGTTATATATATTTTTAAAAAGCCCATAATTTATGAACTTTAGGTTATATATATATATTATAATGAATGAATCATGAATAATACAAGTGGTATTTTCAACTTTTGTTAATGAAAATGAGATATGTAATTATTTTACAATTAAACTTTAAGTTTTGACTTATTTTAAGAAAACTCTATTAGAAAAGTAAAACTAAGTTACTAACAGTACGTAGATTTAAGTGAAAGAAGTTTAATTTTTTAAAAATAAAGTTTCGAGTTTAGGTTTTATAAGTGGAAAGATAGGCACTAAACAAGTTTTACCTCTTATGGAGTTTGACTTAATTCAACTCCAGGTTAATCAAGATAGAAGGAAATGCAAAAAAAAAAAAAAAAATCTAAGTTAAAAATACAAGTTTTTAAGCTAAAAAACTACTTAGAGTGTCAATACAACAATATAGGTGTTGGCACTGCTACTTCAAGGTTAACGAAACACATGGTTAGAGGGCTTATTTGCACCAATCAAGGAGTTAAAGGGCTTATTTATATTGTTTTTAGTTTAGGGATCCAAATGCTAATTTAGGATAATTTCAGGGGCTTAATAAGGGTTTTTGCGCGTATGAAATTGGATAAAAAGAAAAAAACAAAAAAACAAAAAAGTAAAAAGAGAGAAAGGTCGTGCTGAATTGGATGTCTCAAAAAGGTGTCCATTGTAAAATCATACTGCATGATGTTGCATATATCAACATTGAAATATGGGGGTCCATTGCAATAAATGATTTTTCAAAGAGTGATCCGAACTAATAGTTTTTTTTTTTAATTTAATTACACAATAAAAAGTAATTATCTCTTATTCCTTATTTCATCTCACCCATGTGCCATATGACTCAAATTTAAAATCTTTTATTTCTAACAAAAAAAGATAATCACTAAACTTTTTATTTTAAATTAGTGTAGATCACTCCCTATAGGTTTTGTATTCAAGACTTACAAATCCTTTTTTTTAATCGTCATTTACTTAATATATAATACTTTCCTTCTATTAAAAAAGAAAAAGTTTTCCTAAAGAGTAAAGTTGTGTTTGATATTTTAACAATCGCAACACAATAACGGGTGAGTATTACCATTTTTAGTTTGATGTACTGATTGTGTTAAGTAAAAAAGGACTAATAAAATTAACCCCCATCATAATGAACTTATATGAAGATCTCTAAATCATTAAATTGATAATGATGTATTACCCTCACTCATGTCGTAAAACAACAAAATTATTTATACTTTTAATCACAAATTTAAAGTTTAAATTTTAATCCCCACGTATAAAAATAAATAACGATGTTTCCTCAGGGTGCATGGCGGTGTATCATAGGAGTGAGTCCTGCACTCCCCAAAAGGCTAATATGGTTTCTTTTAGTAATTAATGCTAATATTAACATTAATCTAGATATATTAGAGATAGAGATGCTCCTTAAATATGGCTTACTAAAAGAAAATAACGTTTTAAATCATTTTAAAGCATTTTCTCATAAAAAATTATTTTAAATCATTTTTCTCATAAAAAAATTGTTTTTAGGCATTTATATAATTTTTTTTTAAGGCCCGTCATTTTAGAGATACATGGGCTAGTGGGCATCCAATCCCTGTATAGTATTTTAGCCCAATTTCTATGGGGCAGAGATTACATGAGCCCATGATTTGAAGACTATTTTTATTTCTCTTTATCTATATTTTCTCCCACTCTCTTTCATTCTTTCTAAACACTTTCTTTATGAATTATTTTATTTTACCCTCACTTTATGATTTACTACGTGATACATTATTTTTCTAGAATATCTATTTGTAAAAATTTAGTTAAATTTCAAAGTGGCACATAAGTTTATTTTATAATTTAAATTATAAAATACAGATTATAAAATAAGGAAATTTATTCTTATGTTAAGAAAACCTCTTATTTATTTGATTATGTATAGTATGCAATCTAGACCGTATATAAAAGAAGAAAGCCAATCTACACAACTAAAGAATTTAGACAAATTTTGTTTCCTCTTATGTACGTCCATCAAGGGGCATGATATTGCACAAAAAATTTTTAATGTTACTTTTAAAAATAATAGTTTGATTTAGTTTGAAGGTTGGAAATAGACAAATAGTAATTAATGATTGTAGTTGTAATTATTAATTGATAGTTGATAAAATATTTAATATTTATTAATTAATAAATTAAAATAAATTTATAATTTAATATTTTTAAATATTATATTAAAAAGTGTTGTATAGTATAAATTGTTATGAATTGCATAATTTTAACCATTATATGAGGGTGAGCTCTTGATATTAGGGCTCCTCTCCCATCAAATGATTTTATTTTACAATTTGGTACAATTAAACAGTAAAACAATAAACTCATATTGTATTACTAACTTTTTTGAAAAGAGCTACTACAATTAAATTTATGTAGTCATCATACTCCTTTTAGTCGAATTTAATTACTCTATTTTTAAAATAAAGGTAATTTAATTTAATTTTTATATTTTTTATTTTAATAAGATATTAAAAATTAATATTTCAATTTTATTCTTATTTTTGAAAAAATAAAATTGCTTTAGAACTTTTTAGTTAATTATAAATAAAGATGAAAATAAAAAAATTAATCTTAATTATTATAATAAATAAAATTTTAATAATCATTAATAAATAAAAAAAGAGAATGGTGCCTATCTGCTTTATCTTTTAAAGAATAGAAAGAAAATTATGTTAAAGCTATATAATTTTAATAAATAAAATTTTAATAATCATTAATAAATAA